CCCCCCCCCCCCCCCCCGCCCCACTGGGTATGAGAATCCCCTCCTCCCAGTCTGTCTATTTCAACTCTCCCTTCCTCACCAAAGGAAGTAACAATAACTGACCCCCTATCACCAGCTCACAGAGGCCTCTGCTCTAAGCAGTTCACCTGGATAAACTCCCGGGACCCTCAGGACAGCTTTCTGAAGGCACTGTTGTTACTAAGCCTATTTTACAGATGAGGAAAGGAGGTTCCCAAGCGGCATTTCCGCTTTCCAGGGCCCTTCCTGTCCCCACCCCTTTCTCGCACCAGCCGCTCCCCCCCTCCCCGCTCCCCAGCACCCCCAGCCCCTCCAGCCCCTCCATCCCCTCCATCCCCTCGGCCCTCAATCTCCAAGATCTTACTTCCCAGCATCTCTAGTACTCTCTTTTGGTCCTCCAGCCCCTCCCCTCTCTAATCTCCCCTTCTGCATCCCCGCCCCACCATTGCCCGACCTCCTTCTTTTGTCCCCGCGGAATCTCTGCTTGGGAGGGACTCTCCCTCCCTCCCGGGCCCTTCCCTCTCTTTGCTTACCTCCCTACCCCTCCCCACACCCCTCCCTTTCGGCCCCCCTCCAACCGGCTCACCGAGCACCCGGAGCCAGGTTCGGGCGCTCCTGTCGCCGTTGGGGAACGTGGCGAACTGGCAGGAGTAATTGCCTTCATCTTCGGCGCGCAACCCCCGCACGGCCAGCGATGCGTCTCGCAGCTCCTCGCCTGGCCTGGCGGCCACGAACTCCAACCGGCCGGGCTCCGGGAAGCTGGGGCCCTGGGTGGGGTGGAAGACCGCCACGCTGCGGGAGGCCTCCTTCAGCTTCTGCCGAGTCCAGGTCACCTGCGTCACCGTCACGTTGTGCCCCAGAGGCTGCAGTTTGCACGGCAGCTCTGTGGTGTCGCCCAGGAAGCCGCGCACCTGGGCTGGGGCCAGCACTCCGATTGTCTCGGTCCCTGCGGGGAAACGCGGGGCGAGTCACACCCGGGTGTCCCTGACCTGGATGGGGAGAGGCGCCTGGGAGGTCGCTCACCTGGGCCTTGGAGCCCCTTGGTTGGGAGTGTGTGTGGGGAGGAAGAGGGAGGTGGGGAGGGTCAGTCCGGATCCAGGGATGAGGGTGAGGACGGCTGGACTGGGTCTGCAACCTGGTCGCTCGCGTTCAGTCGGGCTGTTATTACCGTATTTCCTCTATCTCAGCATTATCACTTTTTAAAATTGTGGTCAATATTGTGGATAAAAAATTAAAATTGCCACTTAAACCATTTTAAAATGTACAGTTCAGTGGCAGGAAGTACATTCACGGTGTTGTGCAACCACCACAAACTTTTTCATCACCCCTGAGTCATCAATTTTAAGATGTCATTTACAGCACGACCCGTCCTCAGTGGTTAGAGAATCCTGGATTTAGAGGTGTGGAAAGGGGAAGAAACTCTAGGTCTTAGAGTACATGAAATAAAGTATTACTGCTATTCCTCTGTGCGGACTCAGGTTGGGAAAATGTTTGTAGGGGATCCTAGCACAAGAAGGGAGGTGATCATAGCCCCAGCATTTTGGATCCCCTCAGATCTCTGCTGTGAGGCTTCCGGCAGTTTCCTTAACCTCTCTGATCCTTTTTCCTAGTTTGTAAAATGGGACTAAGAACAGTTAACATTCATGGGTTGCTTACAAAGATCGGGGCTGCTCTGAGCACTTTACACATCTCCCAGCATTTAGGCCTTAAACAGCTCCTTGAGGTAAGCACTACCGTCAGCCCCACTTTAGAGGGAAAGTGAGGCACAGAGTCTTGTGCTCCAGGTCACACAGAGCACAAGTGGCAGAGGTGGATTTGAACCTGGGCCATCTACAATTAAGACCCCTGATCTCTCATCCACCAGGCTCCAGGTGAAAATCTTTCTGCCCAGGGCCCCCTGCACACAGTAGGTCCTCAATATGTGTTGGCTTTTATCGATATCAAGAAACACAATGCTGTGTGTCCTTATTAATAATAATAAGGATAAGAACAAGGTGAGAAGGAGTTAAGTGCTTTGACTCTCAGTCCTGCTGCTCACTAGCTGTGGCCTCTGTGTTGCTGGTTTCACTCCTCTGAGCCTCAGTCTCCTCATCTGTAAAATGGGGGTGGTTATAGCCTAAGAGGGCGTTGGGAGGACTAAATGAGGAAATTTATGTAAAGGGATTAGATATGCCAAGCACCCTATACAGGGGAATATTATAATTATTGTTATGAGGAAGAGGAGGCTGGGAGGTAGTGGACTGGGGTGCTTGGAGCGTGCTGTGTTGAGGGAGGGCACGGTCTGGACATGAGGGGATTGTGGAGCGGTGAGCATGCTAGTCTGGCTTCGAATGCCAGGTCCACCGTGGACATGCTGTGCAGCTCTGGGCAAGTGAGTCTCCTTCTCTGATGAGTCTCCTGGGAACCCCCTTGTTTATGAGCTGCCGACTTAGGCTTCACGGGTGAAAAGAAAACACCCAGGCTTTCAGCAAATTGCCTCTCTGAGAATGACATGTCACCCTTCCAGAAAGCCTTCCACTCTGCCTTCTGTCTGCATCCTCCATGCCCTGGGTCCAAAATCCTGGCTCTAGCAATGACATCCTGATGTGGCTCACCTCTTTTCTTTGGTTTTTCTCCCTCCATGAGGCAAGACCGCTCTGGGCAAGTGAGTCTCCTTCTCCTTCTCTTGATGGCAAGACCGCTATGAGGATGAAACTGGATGAAGTGGCCTTTCTCTGGCTTTGTACTCTGAGTAATAGCTAGGCCCGAGCTCCACTGTGTGCCAGGCACTGGGCTGCTCCCTTAGGTGAGGCCTCCTCCAACCCTCTCCAAGGGCCCATGAGATCCACACTGGGAGCACCAGTAGTTTCATCCCCATTGGTCAGAGGGGGCACGAGAGCCTTGCAGGTTCAAGCTACTTGCCTAAGCTAACCAGCAAGTGAGGGGCAGAGCCTGGCTTGAGACCTTTTGGGACATGGCCAGACTCTGGTTTCCCCGAGCCTGCATTCAGTGCTGTTACTGTTCACGTGAATTATCGTTATCATTATTGTTCTTCTCCAGTGCAGCTGACCTAGCTCAGCATCTTCCCAAGACACGGTTTTACTAGGTAGGTAGAATTCCACCCCCTGCCCCGTCCCCAACACACATTTTATGGAAACAGAGAGCTCAGGTCACTTTCCTGAGCTCACACATGTATTAAAACGCCAAAAGCTATTTTGAGCCCACCGCCGTCTGACATCAGTGCTGTATCCCCAGTAACTTGGAAGGCTGCCCACAGTAGGAACTCTATAATAAACGTGTGTGAGATGAATGCATGCATGAAGGAACGGCCGTGTCCTTAGAGTCAGACATGTGGGGTCCAACGGCAACGGGGTTATGTGCCGCTGCTCCCTCCCCCCGCATCGAGCATCCTCTGTCGTTGTCAGCGGGTTATTGGGGGCTGGGGAGAAGGGTCCGCTTGTAGCGAGCGGGGTCGAGAGGTGTGGTGCCCGGGCGTGCGTGAGTCGCCTTCCACCTTATTTTTTCCCCGGAGGCTGGCCCGCCCTGCCCTTCAGAAATCTCCCAAGGTCCGGTGGCTTTCCGGGAAGCTGTCAGGAGAGTCTGCCCCGGCCCGGCGTTTCTCCATCCCTGGGGCGGAGGGGAGCACAAAGCGAAGGGCAGTGCGCTCTGCCTTGGGGAGCCCAGGGGGCCGGGCCCAGGCGGGTGGGGAGGGAGAGGGGGAGCAGGGGCCGCTCGACCGCGTGGGGTCACTCACCGGCTCCCGAGGGCGCCCAGAACAGCCACAGCAGGGACAGCAGCAGCAGCGGCGGCCAAGCTAAGGGAGTGGCTCGGGTCATGCTGGGCGCGCCGCCGCCTCCTCCGCTCGCCCTGCCAGTCGCGCTGCCGCCTCCTCCGCTCGCCCTGCCAGCCGGGCGGCCGCCGCAGGTCCTGGCCAGGAATTCTAGCGTCACTCAGCCGCCGAAGCCTAGGGGAGGGAAGGGGAAGTTCTACCCCTTCCCTCCTCAGACTTGCAGCGGGGAAGAAGTAGAGAAGAAGTAGAACTGGGCTCCCGGGTCCCCGCCCGCTCCCGGGGCTCCCGCCGAGGCTCCGGTACGGCCCCTCCCTCCGCGCCTGCGCTGACACTTGTCACTAGGGCAACATCACTAGGAGGTGGGTTCTGATTCGAGGAAGCTTCGGTATAAGGATCCCCATTTGACAGGCGAGGAAACCGAGGCACGCAGAGAGGTTCAGCGACTTTCTAAAGTTCAAGATTGGCGAGGGACAGAGCAGAGATTCGAGTCTATAATCAGGACAGATCCCGAGTTCCTAAGCTCAAAAGCTTAAATCCCCTGGGTTCATGTTGGGCAAGTTGCTTCTCCTTCTGAGGCCTCAGTTTTCTCATCTGAAAAATGGACAGGATAACAGCACTCACCTCACGGGAGGGTTTGTAAGACTTAAGCAACTGTTTAGCCCAATTCCCGGTATATCGTTTGTACTCAACAAACAGCTATCACAATGACAACAACTGTTGCTTTACAGTTATCATCAAATAATAGTGCTGGTGAGAATGAGGGCTCATTCATTTTTCATTCCATAGATACTTTATTGAACCAGGCAGCATTCCAGGCACAGGGGATGCAACAGAAAATAAAACAGACAAAAATCCCTGCCTTCATGAAGCCCACCTTCTATCGGAGGGAAACAGGCCATTAACAGACCGATACACAGACCAGCATCATGTCTAGAGGTGATGATGGTTAGGGAGCAACATATAGAAGAGAGAGAGAGATGAGAGACACCAAGACAGAGACAGAGGAATGAGAGAGGAATGGAGATAAACACACTCAGAGATGGCCACTGGGAGATGGGGAGAGAGAAAGAGAAAAGACACAAAGATAGAGACACAAGACAGTGAGACGGGAGAGAATCGAGAGGCGACAGAGAGACCCAGAGAGCCCTATGCTGATACGGAGCTTGGGAGGCTTGCTGGTCCCCAGCCCTGTTCATCCCAGTCATGATCCCCACCTGGCCCGCTAGCAGCTCTGACCCTTGTTCTGTGACATCCCCATATCTTTCTAGAAAATTCCCCCTTTGGACTTTGGCCAGTTTGGAGGGTTCTGTTCCCTGCTGCCCTCTCTGACTTGGCCCCAGAGCCCACCCCTGGCACACAGCTGTGGGTGGGTGGCTCTGATGCATGGCGTCTCTTGCTCTGCATGTACGTAGGTGAATTTCTGAATGGAAATGTGGGAGCTGGTCTCTGGGAAATCTCTGAATTTTCTGGCACTCTTGTTCTGGGCCTCTGAGTTATTTCCAAATTGGGAAATTGTGGCTGCTGCTATGTTTCTCCCCTGGACCATGATGTCACCTCTGGGGTTCCCCCTCCTCCCAGGGCTCCCAGCTACGCTTACTGTGGTTGCAGCAGCCTCCTCCCTGGCTCTGGATGGCCAGAGGCTTCCCTCTTTCCCCCCTGCCAATGTTTGGACTTCACATTTGGGGCCCGCCTCACCCCATATCCTGCCTCTTCCCCACTGGACATCTGACTTCTCGGTGACAGGAGTGGGGCCTCTGTCTGAAATCCAATCATTAGAGCCTTGGTCCTGAACGATCCCACGCCATGTAGATGATACAGCCTCCGTTACTGAAGCTCAAAATCGGGGGCGGGGCTGAGGTCAGGGATGCGGTGAAGGTCAGGGATGAACTCAAAGAGGGGGTCAAGAAAAGGGAGGTTCTCAGGGATAGGGTTAAGATGTGGTGAGTGTCAGTAGGAGGGGGAGGGCCTTTGGTGACTGGTATTCCTGGGGAAAAACCTTTGAGTCAATAAATACTTGGGAAGGCCAAAAGGTCCAGGCTGTCAAAATTGCTGAATTAAATAAAAAGTCTTGCTGCAGGTCTGGGTGAGGCTGGGTGAGGACGTGACGGAGGGAGATGGGTGCCAGCTGGAATGGGTGGGTTGAGTTAAGGAGTTGTCTGGTTCCCCTGACAGCCCCTCTGCTGGCTCTTTTCCACCTCTGAGCCCTGAGGGGTGGTCTGGGGTCTCATGGAAACCACCCTCCTCTGGTTCCCACAGCTGCCTGGGCTCCGCCACCATGGCCCTTTGCTCTTTGTATTCATTCAATGAATACATGTTTATTGAGCACCTACTATGTGCTCGGCCCTGTCCTAAGTGCTGAAGATACAGTAGTGAGCAAGAGACAAAGTTCCTGTCTTCCTGGAGGTACCATGCTGGATGGGACTTGGGAAGAGAAAGATAATAAAAAAGTAGACAGGTACTCTATATACCAGGGGATGATAAAAGCTATAAAGGAAAATAAGACACGGTAAGGAGACAAGGAAGAATTTCTCCAATATTCCTCCTTTGTGGCTGCCCAACACTTTTGACTCTACTCCCTCCAGCTTCCCCTGCATGTCCCTCCTTCCCAAGGCAGAAACAAACAAACAAACCAAAAAACCCTCACAGCTTTAGTGTTTCTTTCAGCAGGTACAAGCCTGTGAACTAGGTGTCACCAATTGACTTGCATTTGGAGGGGACAACACAAGCCAGTTCTGAGCAGATGTTTTAAAGTTATGGCCTGGCTCATCCATTGTTCTTCTTCTTTGGTTCCCATAACTACCTGTCCCAGATGGGGCTGCTCCTTCAGCCATGGTCCCAGGACAAAGAAGATGTGTGAAGAAGAGCCACAGCTGACCTGCTGTCAATGTGTAACATGAGTGAGAAATTGATGAGCAAATCCTCAAGATTTAGGGGTTGTTTGTTATTGCAGCAAAATCCAGTGAAAGCTGACTGATAGAAAAATCATCTCTGAGATGGGGTGTTGAAAACTAAATGAAGTCAGCTCCATGATTTCCTGGGGATAAAGTATTTCAGACACAGGAAGAAGCAAGTGCAAAGGCCTTGAGGCACAAACCTGCTTGCTGACTTGACAAAGGGGCTGGTGTGGCTGGAGTAGGAAGAGTAATGGGAAGTATGAGGAACAGTTCAGAGAGGTAGGAAGAGGTCAGATGTTATGAGACTTAGTGGGCCATGGTAAGATGTTGATATTTTATGGAGGTGGGAAGACCTTGGAGGGTTTTGAGCTGATTTGATCACACTTGTGTCTTATCTTCCCGGACTGGGCTGGAACCCGCGTCCCCTGCATTGGCAGGCAGATTCTTAACCACTGCGCCACCAGGGAAGTCCCCAGACTTGTGTTTTAACAGGATCCCTCTGGCTGCCCTGTGGGGAACAGGCTGTAGTGGGTGGCAGGTTGAAGCCAGTGGGGAAGTGACTGCAATGGTCCAGGTGGGAGGTGATGGAGGATCATTGCTGGGTGGTGGAAGGGGAGGTGAGATGAAGCGGTTGGATTTGAATGTAATTTGAAGGTAGAGACCCAGGGATTTGCTGACAGATTGGATGTGGGACATGAAAGAAACCTCTCTTTCCCACCGAGGACCCCACGGTCCTGGCCTGAGGGAAGGAGGAAGTGCTTTTGACTGAAACGGGGGCAATGGCTGGAGCAGCAGGTTTGGAAGGAAAAGCAAATTTGGTTTCAGACTTGCTTCTTTGTGTCTTCCTGTCAAGACTCTAAATTCCTTGAGGGTTGGGACCAGTTCTAGACATTTTTTTGTCCTCAAGTGCCAAAATATCTATTGAAAGAATAAATAAGTGAATGGAGAGGGCAGACAGCAGAAGCAAGAAGAACTACAATCCTGCAGCCTGTGGAACAAAAACCACATTCACAGAAAGATAGACAAGATGAAAAGGCAGAGGGCTATGTACCAGATAAAGGAACAAGATAAAACCCCAGAAAAACAACTAAATGTAGTGGAGATAGGCAGCCTTCCAGAAAAAGAATTCAGAATAATGATAGTGAAGATGATCCAGGACCTCGGAAAAAGAATGGAGGCAAAGATCGAGAAGATGCAAGAAATGTTTAACAAAGACCTAGAAGAATTAAAGAACAAACAAACAGATATGAACAATACAATAACTGAAATGAAAACTACACTAGAAGGAATCAATAGCAGAATAACGGAGGCAGAAGAGCGGGTAAGTGACCTGGAAGACAGAATGGTGGAATTCACTGCTGTGGAACAGAATAAAGAAAAAAGAATGAAAAGAAATGAAGACAGCCTAAGAGACCTCTGGGACAACATTAAATGTAACAACATTCGCATTATAGGGGTCCCAGAAGGAGAAGAGAGAGAGGAAGGACCCGAGAAAATATTTGAAGAGATTATAGTCGAAATCTTCCCTAACATGGGAAAGGAAATAGCCACCCAAGTCCAGGAAGCACAGAGTCCCATACAGGATAAACCCAAGGAGAAACACGCCAAAACACATAGTAATCAAACTGGTAAAAGTTAAAGACAAAGAAAAATTATTGAAAGCAGCAAGGGAAAAACGACAAATAACATACAAGGGAATTCCCGTAAGGTTAACAGCTGATTTCTCAGCAGAAACTCTA